CCCTAAACGCCCAAGCCCCCTAAACCCTGTCTTCTGCACCAGAAGACCTCGCAAAGATGCTCTGACAGGTCTTCCAGGCCACTGCCCTGTGCACGAAGCGAGACTTGGCGTCTCTGGGGCTCAGAGATTGTGAGTCTTTGGGGTTTAGGGTTTAGGATGTTTTGCAACTTTGTAGGACTCAGAAATTGTGAGTCTGGCCCTGAGACTCCAAGTATACGAAATGTACCGGTTTGGGGTTTAGGATCTTCGTGGTTCAGAGGTTGAGTCTTTAGGGCTTGGAGTTCAAGGATTCAAGGCTTAGATTTTCTTAACTCTATAGGGTTCAGAGATTGAGTGAGTCTTTGGGGCTTAGAGCTTTTGTAACCTTGTAGTGTTCAAAGATTGAGGCTTTGGGTTTGGGGTTTAGGAAATTTTGCTGGCTGAACTGCGCCCCTGTGAGTGTCTACTCCGGGATAGGGTTGAGGGTTTCAGAGTTTCGGGCCGTTTAGAGTTGAGGATCTTAGGGTTTCGGGTTGGAGCTTTAGCCCTAAGGTTCCATGTGCCCATTTAGCATATGGGTGGGTGTCAATATTCGGGTCCCTTTTTGGGTACCCTAAATATAAGGTGCCGTACTATAATAGGGACCCAAAAAGGGACCCTAATTTTGACAACCACCCATATACATTGGCCATGAAGTACCTACATAGGGACTACTTTACGGGCAAAGTGTATACTGTTTGGGCAAATGTACTCTTGGACCCCTAGCCCAGAGGATCCATATATGCCACCAATGTGGTCTTCAGTCCCGAACGACATTCCTTTAATCATGGTTTTAATGACCTAACCTATTTCCATAAATTGTAGCATATATATATATATAAAGCCTTAACACCCTAAACCCTAAACCCTTATTATAGAACTCTTGTAGTGCCCTCATAAAATCGCACCCTTGTAGAACCCTTATCTGGCCATACTGGCAGGGTAATGCTGAGCCCTAAAGGGTTTGCGTGCTTGAGACACCGGGGCTAGGATCCTAAGAAGGACTTTGCTGTGGTCATAAATGTCCCTTCAGAGGTTCCTTCAAGTCCTTAAAGGGTTCCTTTACACAGCTCCGTGCCTGATCCACCATGGTTGCAACGACCTCTGGATCAAACTTGTACTGGTCCTTGCACGGGATTCTATGGGGAGCTTTCAAAGGTTTGTGTGAGGAGTCGTGCAGGTATTTTTTTGGGGGTTGATCGGCTGTAGGGTTTAGGACAAACCCTAAACCCTGAACCCTATATACATTACATAGCCCATTCCCAAACCCTAAAACCCAAACCGTCCCCTCAACCCTAAGCATCCCTAAAATTAAGAACATGAAACCTCAAACCTGCAATCCCGAAACCCCAACATCCTACCCTAAACTCTGAACCCTAAGCCCATAGCCCTTAAACCCCTACACCGTGAACGTGAAACCCATAAACCCGGAACTCTAAACCCATAAACCCTGAACCCACAACCCTAAACACGAAAGAAGACATAACCCTAATAGGAACCTTTTAACGAAACCTTAAAAAAGGAATCCCTAAACCCTAAACCCTGACACATGCCCTCAACCCTCAACCCTGAGCCCTCCCTAAATAATACCCTTATAGATCCCTTAAAGGCCGCTTAAAGGAATCCACAAACCCTAAATAGTACCCTTTATGCATGGATCCCTGAAAGGTCCCTTAAAGGAACCCAGAAACCCTGATTTGTCGATGTAAATCTCCTCCTAAACCCTCATCCCTAAATACCCTGGACCCTAAACCCTATAAATCCTAAACCATAAGCGCCATAAACCACCAAACCCTGAGTTTTCATAGACCCCAAACTCCTAAACCCTCCGCAAGGATCCCTTCGAACTCTCTTTGAAGGAACCCATAAAGCCCTGACCTTTAAGTACACCCTTACTTGGAGGGTCGGGGGACTTAGTAACTGGTTAGTTTAGGGACTTATAAGTACCATAACCCCAATTAGGGCCCCTTTTCGGGTACTTATAAGTCTACTTACTACCTACTTACTAAGTCCCCCGGCCCTCCAAGTATAAACCTTAAAGGGAACTCCGAAAATCGAGCCCTATAATACCTTCAAAAGGAATCCAAGTTACGAAATCCTGCGAACCCTGAGACTTCCTGTATCTCCAGGATCTCCAAGAGGTGGGTCCAGTCATGGAGAGGCCTAGAACCAGACACTCCCCAGTTGCAGGTAGTGACGAAAGAGGAGTTGCCACTCGGCAAGAATGCACAAAGCGGCAGGATCGGGGGAGATCCTTAAGCCCTGAACCGGTCCGAAACGGTTTGCATGCGAGAGAGACGGATCTCACCGACTTGCCTGGCGCTTATAGCCCCTGCTTTACAAGGAGCCGCAACCTCACTCAACATGGACCAGAGATGGTGGCTTTTCTGAAGATACCTGCGATGCTTCTGACCTGTGCCTTAGAGTTTAGGGTTTAGGGTCAGCAGGCCGGCGATGCTTCGGACCCGCCTCGCAATAGAGGGGCCTTAACAGGTTGGGGGTATATTCGACTTTTATCATAAAAAAGGAACCCCCGCAATAGTATTGGTAATTATTGAGGCCCCTCTGGTGGGCTCCAAGAACCCACAATCGCTCAAGCAAGTCGGGAGCTCTCGTGCTCTTTCACTTGCTGCGAGGTCGCTGCGAAAGCTTGCCCACCAGGAACTTCTCTTGGACATCTGCGAGCTCAGTTGACATCCTACAGCCCCCAGGATTTTGGCAATCTCGGCTGCGCGGGGATCACGGTGCTGCAAGCTCCATGTAACCGCGATAAAAGGCCTGGCCCAGCCTTGCCAACATTTGCGAGGGATGGGATAAGGCCTCGACTAAAGCAGCCTTTAGGCCTGTGGCGGCTTGAAGGCGGAGGTGGTCATTGGGCTGCGTAAGTATACAAGTCTAGGGAAGGCTTGGGAGCATCGAGCGTCCGCTTCACGGGAAACCCACAAGCCGAATGAGCCGCAGTTCGAAGCTTCAAGCTCAAGCATCGGAATCAAGGACTACACGGGCAACTAGCAAGAAGCACTTCCGTAGCAACCCTTCCCCAACGCACGACGGGCCACGCCGCGGACGGCGTACGACAGTTCCCTGACTAAGCAGTGTTTTCACCTGGCTTGACACCCTCACCGACAGGCTTTCATTGAGCTTTAGAGGGCCATGTTCCTCGGCATTATCGGATTTTACGACAGAGGCCTCAAAGATTTGAGATCTGCGATGGCACAACAGCGGGACGTCGACAAGCAGCACCTAGATTCGGACCAAGATCATCGCAGATGCCGGAAGTCAGAAGCCATGCCAGACCTGGTGCTACACCGGAGCCTCTGGCCCTTGCAGGGGCACCGCGAGGTGCGTCACTTCTGAACAATGTTTGCGCTGATGGTTGAGGTATGCCTATGACCTATGCGCGCCTGATCGCGCCTGCGTAGATCCGTCTGAAGGAAGCAACCATGGAAGTTCAGGCCTAGGGGGCTCTGATGGAGTGAACCTCCAGCCAGCAAGGCGAACAGGAGAAATTGATCCAGGGATCCAGATCTCTAGGTTGCGGCATGGATGATTCTGCGCAGGAAGCAACGAAGCGGCTGCCGCGAACCTTCATCATAGCCTTTCGTAGCTCGCGAAAGGGCTTTGCATGCAGCACAACAACCGGTAATAGCTCCATCCTAAACCCGAGCCACTCCAAACTCCACAACCCCTGGCAAACAGTTAACATTGCCTCAGTGCAGAGCCGGTTGCCCAAACAAACCCACAAGGGCTCGGGGCCCACATCATGAACTGGTCTAGCCTTGCAGTGCTGTTCAGGGAGCGGGCAGCGTCTCTGCTGCCTCCACCTGCAAAGCTGTAACGAAGGCTCACAGAGAGAGAGGCCTGAGGCCCAACCTAATCACCCTTCGTCGCACTCTCCGCCCATGGTTCTGCATGTCAGCAGCCGACGGCTGAGCACTCCAGACAGGCTTGCGTGCCCCATGCAGGCTGCCGCCAACTTGCACGGGAGATGACACCCCCCTACCTTAACGGGCTTCCTGGCAAAATTGGCCAACCACCGTAACAAACTTGGCAGCCGAAACCTCGCACTCTTTTGGGGCTCTGAAGCAGGAGCCCAAGCCAAAGCCCAGCCCAAAAGGCATGCCAGATTTGCGGAGACAGCGCAGAGATTGGAGATATCATAGTGGAGACGGATACTTTAGATTGCTGTGAGCTCGAGTTGCAACACCAGCTTACTTGGTTTCAGGCGTATCTGATACGTATGTGGGATGTCCTATAGACGTCCACCGGCCTTGTGCTGATGGTTTCGGAAATATGGGCCGGCACGGTTCAAGAATCGGCCAATCACACCCTTCTGCTCTCTGCTCTAAGTTTTTGAACCTGGCCCGTGCGCCCCTTATGCCACAGAACGCGTCAACGCGTGCAGCACGCTGCCCTGTGCGGCTGCCAGGAGGACCAGGCAGCAGCTGGATGTGTGGCTTCGGTTCTCGAATTTCCAGAACATCGAAAGGTCGCAATCAATTCCGACGGGTGTCTAGGACCAGGGAAGCCTTTTTGAGCTTTGGCGCGGCTTAGAGATTGTGAGCTGGCATTAATGGTAGACGGAGGGCACTTTCTATACTGAGGGCCAGCATTCCCATCAAGCGAGGAGCCTTTTGCATGCGTGCGGCAGGGAAACTCAGAAATCGGGAACTTCTACGTCAAGGCCTTCATAGCTTCGCGGCTAGCACACGCAGCCGAGGCAGATTGCTTCCCGTCCATGCAACACCGCGCACGGAAACAGAGAAGCGGTTTAATAAGTGGAGACCAGACCTCTGCGCAGAAGAGTCTTCTCTACCAAAAAGGCTCATCCCTGTTTCTGATAGCAGAGGAAGGGGTACTTTCACAATTTCACCTAGATGTAAGTCCTTGAGACCGACACCGACGCTTGAGACTCCTCAGGATGGGGGCAAGATTTATTCTGAGGCGAAGTCCGAGCCTTTGGAAACGCCCTTTGAACGGAGTCAGCTCGGGACAAGGGAAAAAACCTGTCGCTTTGCCTGGGCCTCTGGACGGGGGCCTTGAAACCATCGGCTGGAGATTCGGCATGCTTTTGGGTTCAAACTCGGAAAAGGTCGAGATTCCAGCAGCGCCAGTTCGTCTCTAGTACATTCACTGCGGGCTCTCAGTTCAACGGGCGATCCCGCAACTTCTCCCTGTAGTTCCAAAGCTTTCACTCTAAGCTTCCCCATGTCTCGTTCGTTGCCTTTCGCAGGACACTGAAACATACTGAAACTCCAGATGGCAACCCAAACCGGTCTCAGAAGCAAGACAGACCACCTAGCCCGGCAAAACAAGGTTGACCGAATGACACCTTTACCTGTCTTCGGAGGCATCGGAGACAGAGAAACGGACAGGCCGAAGGCTACGCTGCTTCGTGAGGCTGGGTTGACTCTGCTGGGACGAAGCGAGGCTATGGTCTAAACCCTGCCACTTAGCGCACCTGAGCCCAGCGTAATGCAGCATCACGAAGAATTTAGCCAGCTGACTCATATCCTGCAGGGGAGTATGTCCTGCCGCAGGAGCGGCTCCCGTGTGCTGTTAGCCTTACCCGGGCACTGCAGATGGTGAGCGAGCTCTCAAGCTGCCGCGGGCCGCGGAACAGAAACCAGCATGAGCACCCGCCGCATTTTCAACTATCATTTGCTGTGCCAGCGAAGGCTTGGGTGTCCGAGAGGAAGAAGCTTTGCCGACTTGCTACGCAACGCCTAGGCCTCAGTCAGTGCGAACGTGGTTTTGTGGTGAACTCAGAGCCCGTCATCTATACCCTATCCAGCCTTGCTCCCGTACTCCCTGTACTCAAACCCCGAGGGCGAGTGGCCAAGCCTCCGCCATTGCACATACGGCGAGGGGAGCATGTTCCTGGCCCGCGTCTTGCTCAGCTTTTTTCGAAATTTCGTCGACAAACCTGTCCAAATGCAGGATCCGCACAACCTCGAAAACTGGGTGCACCACAATGCTCGAGGATGATGCTGACAATACTGAAAAGTTCGACTAGGACTGCAAGAGCTTTGCTGGGAGGATCTGTTTGGGAAAATCTTTAGTGAAGCCCTCCAGGAAGGGCCGTTCAGCACTGTGCGTGGATGCAGAGACACAGCTCTGGCATGCTCTACTTTGAGGGAAACACCTGTCGCGGTGATCTGTGCTATCTTGCTTTGCACCGCGCCCCCCTTGTACCGGTAGTTGCAGCTACGATCTTATAGCTCATGCCCTGACCACCCTGACCCAGCAGATTGAATTTCCTGCAGGTTTTGGACGGCACTGGGAGTGTTTTCTTCATCCTGTGACAGTCATTAAAGGGTAGTCGGGGCCGCGGATCAGCACTTCTTTCTGGTTGAATCAGGGCTCTTCCTACCTTCGACTTGGGTGCCATCTTTGGGCCACCACCTTCACAGGAAGATGAGATCCCTAAACCCAAAAGCCTCGCCTTTACTGTTACCTTTAAGGCATTTTCAGGGAGCCTAGTCAGAGGCAGCCTCGGAGCAGCGCCGCGCAGCTTCAGGTTCTCGCGATTTTAGGGCTTAGGCTCTGAATCTCCACTTCTGGCCCTTTATGTGGAAAAGGGCGGCAAAGAAGGGCAGCATGCTGAAGGCTCCACACTGGAGATGTGGCTTCTGCGTGGGCTGGTGATCAAGACAGGCGAGGAACCAGGGCCACCACCCAACAAAGCCTGGGTTTGAAGCTCAGCTGTCCTGAAACTGCGGGCGGGCAGCAAGCAAGCCTTCACGACACTGACTCCGACTGCTTATGAGGAGCTGCTGTGGGGCCACGGCTTGCATCGCTGGAGTATCTTCAACATACGCCCGACGATCTAGTGATTGATGTCGATGTGCAGGCGCAGCGTGGCGGCCCACTCCCACAGAGCCCATGCCACCGCAGGGACCTTTGCACCTGCGCCGCCTGCGCCCGCCTTCCGCAAGGCCTCTGAAACCTAGAATCTCCTTCAGAATCACTGGGCCTCTAGGACCTGAGCCTCAGACAGGAAAGGGCGGAAAGTGGCTGCTTTTTCATAGAGTGCCTAGGTGGTGATAGCCTTGGAAGACAGAGAGCACTCGGGCAGAGATGCAGGGCTCTTTGGCTTTGACACTGCAACTAGCGTTCTTATCGGCAGTTTGCAGCGCCTCTTCGACCCGGAAATGGGAAGCCCTGTGAGGCAATCGCAGGCTGCAGCCCACACTTGCTGTGACCTTACCTCACTGCAGTCCTTTCAAAAGCACGAGGCGTCAGCGCATTTGCAGAATTCCGGCCAGCAGCAACGTGAGTCGCGGCCACAGGGCCGCAGAAGACCTCAGAGGGTGAGTAACGCAAGGGCCTGACTAATCGGAATATGGTTTGGGGGTATCTTATGGTAGAATCGTGATAAGGAACCCTACGGCATGGTATTGGTGACGCTTTAGAAACTTTAGGCACATGCATCTACATTAACCAACTGAGTGCAGCAGTTTCGGGCACGCAAGGAACCATAAACCCACAAACGAGGTTGGCCAGAAGGGTCTCCCAGACCTTCGGCCTGCGCTATGCTTGGAAAACCGGTTTGGAATTAAGGGTTCTTTCCGGTTGAAGAACCGCTGAGATTGCAGGAAACTTGCCTACACGACCCTGCATCCTTTGGTGACACAACCCTGAATCCCTAAACCTCTGAAACCGTAAATCCTCCCAAAACCTTACAAAAAGAGTGTGGGCAAGAGGCCGTGTTTGCATGAGGAGCGCATCAGAAGCAGCAGCGGCCGGCGGTGGATCTCCAACTCAGATGCTGTGATGCTTTGCGGCTTATACAGTTAAAAGGCTCTTTTAAAGGGCTCTGTCAGGGCTCTTTTAGGGGTTTCTTTAAGCGTTCTATTGAGGGTTCTTCTTCGGTTAAAAAAAGCTTATAGGGCTTCCAGGGTTCCGGATTTTGTCTATATGGCTTAGGATATGGGGCTTTGGGCTTAGCAGGGGGAGGGGGGGGGAAAGGGCTTATGGGAGTTTGGGTTGTGGGTTTTGGTTTATCGGATTACGGTTTCGGGCTTGAAGGCTTCGGGATGCTTCGGGATGACATGGTCGAGGGTTGAGGGCTTGGGGTTTAGGGATTATATGGTTGAGGGTGTATGGTTGCAACATGTTTCGACACTCTGCGTCTGGCAAGGAAATGGACAACCGCGAAGGTAAGGCAAAAGCCGTTAGACATGGGCCCTGCATTAATGATCAAAAGAATCTAGGGTTTTAGGGAACCTTATAGTACAATCATGACAAGGAAGCCGGGTTTGGGTATGCGGCGTAACGGTGACGTATCCAGCTCTATGTGTGCAGGTGAACAGACCCAGCACGCGACGAGGGTGCCCCAACTTCTAAACCGTGTACCCGTACCCTAAACTTCCCTGAGTTGTTAACCCGAAACCCTAACTACCCTAACCCCTCAACCTTACACCCTAAACTCTAGACTGCCCTAGACTCCAAACATCCCGAAACCAGAAACCTTAAACAGTAAACCCTAATTTAAACCCAAAACCATAGAGCCTAAACCCTGAGCCCTAAACCTCAAGCCAAACCCGCTAAGCTCCGGGCTTGGAGAGATGGCGGCTTCAACCATTGCCGCCACACCCCAAAACGGCTCCAACTGGGCAGGGGCTGCTAACTGTCTCTGATGCCACTGAAGCCAAGCAGGCTGCAAAAGAACGAACCTGTGTCTGCAAGTGCACCAGGGAATGAGTCACAGCAATGCTGAACGAACGAGTGCATCAACTGACGTGGCACGTACACGACATCAGCTCGCAAACGGTGCAGGGGAAGCCGGTACGGCTGCTGTCAAGTTGAAAACAGGGACAAGACCTGCTGAGGCAATGCTGAAGACACGACCTACTTGATCTTTCAACTTGCAGCTGCGCTCGCCATGCTCGCTGCCGCTACGGCGTTTCTATCGAGTGTTGAGTCGAGATGAACAGAGCTCTCTCTCGAGTCCCATCTCTATTGAGCTGTAGTATAGGCGCATTAAAGAATTGAATGGGGGGGGGGGGTTGGGGGGGCTCATTATGCTCTGATTACAATAAGGAACCCCCAGAAGCCTGTTCAAATTGCAAAAGGCCCCTATAGTAGATGGCAACAGCATGGGAACCGGGAGCGGGTGGAACTCATGAGAGTGACTTTGACACCACCTCACGCAGCTTTTCTCTGGCCTTTGGGTCTGGTTTGTGACAGGTGCATGCGACGAGTACAGCAGCCAGTTAAAATGTTGGATGGCATGGTGTGTTCACGGGTAATCGAAAACACGACGCCATGCCATGCATGGGGCAGGCACAACATCAGTTAAGCCCCATGTCCAACTACGAATGACAGTTGAAGTAACATTCTTCAGAGGCAGTGTATCACGTTCATGGAGCTTGGAATTTTCTATGCGCAGGCTTGGCAAACGATGCGGCTAGACTGCGGCGCATGTTTGCAATCACCCCTGCCTCCCGCTGCAGATGCTGAAGCTTTTGGCGTGGCGCGGCACAATGTCTCAGTCTCTTTCTTTGGACGACATCCCGTCTTAGAGGTCTGCATAGCCGCTTGGTGGCGCTGGTGCCGATGCCGGAAGCCCAAGGAGCCACACACTGCCACACACCGCCACATCGGAATCCAAAACAGCAGTGAGGTTGGCAATATCCCTAGACCCTCCATCTACCGTCTATTAGACCCTAAATGCCCCTTATTTGGGACCATATACCCCTATTTGAGGGTACAAGGAGGGTCTTGGTCATTACGAAGAACTTCCATCAAAACTGAACTCTCGTGTTGCACGAATCCACTCACGGGACATCCCAGCAGAGGAAGGCAAGAAAGACTAGGAGCAACAGCGAGAAGCAACTACGCAATGCAGCAGACCGAAGGCGAAGACCCGGCCGAATGAATACCCGAAATGTAGAAGCCAGAATAATTACCAATATCATGTTGATGGTTCTTTTCCATTAGTATAGTATGCTACCCTTTTCGAAATTATTCAGGCCCCTATGATAGATCTCCAACTCCTACCCAAGAGCCCTAGCTTCTCCAGAGGTCCTTCCGACGAACTCGGCTCCAGTCAAAGCCCGGCTGGGAAGTGCCACTCGAAGCTCTGGGGCTCTTTTCAAGAGCCCGGTTCACTTCAGCAAGCCTCTCTGGTAAGCTTTCAAGGTTTTGATCTTACCAGGACTTTCCTTGTACCTTCAAATAGGGGTATATGGTCCCAAATAAGGCGCCTAATAGAGGGTAGATGGAGGGCGGTCTAAGTATTCTTAGTTCTCAGACTTAGTAGTTTGCTGTAGGGAACTATGTATACTATAATAGCGTTACTCTTCTGCAGCTAGGCTACGATTACACAACCCCCACCCCCTTTTCCATCCCTTGCAGTGCTCGCAAGAAGGCCGCTTCTTCTTAAACCCTAAACCCTAAATCCCAACCCCTATACCCTGAACCCTAAACCCTAAACCGGGGCCACTCCGCTTGTTAGTGGATCTCAGGGAGCTTGGGCAGCTTGTGGTCGCGCAACCACGCATTCACCTCGGCGAAGCGACCCTAGGACTTTCTAGTAACCCTTATGGTAAGCTTAGAGCTTGGGATTTAGGGGTTTAGGGGCTTAGGGGTTTAGAGGTAAGCTTAGAGCTTAGAGCTTAGGGTTTAGGGGTTCAGGGTTATAGGTGAGCCCTGAATAGTAACCCTTATGGTATCTTTAAGGCTTACGGTTTAGGCTTACAGTAACCCTTGAAGTAAGTTTGGGGCTTAGGGTTTAGGGTTACAGGAACCCTGTTGGTAATTCTTATAGTACCCCATACAGTAACCCATATTCACTTCGGCCGCAGTCTTGGCAAAATCTTCGCAGACCTGACCATAAACTCCGACCCCTCGAAGTTTTCTGCAACGACCCCACTGGAAGAGCCCTTGTAGTAACCCTTATACGAACCATTCTGGAAATCCTAACAATAACCCATATAGTAACCCATATTCATCCAGGAACCTAAAACGGAACCTGAACACTTGCAGCACCTGTAGTATAGGGGCCAAAACAATTAGAACAGGGTTTAGGGACCATTTTTTTACTATAGCTATAATGAGAAACCCCAAAATAGTATAGGTAATTATTAAGGCCCCGATACTATAGTATCTTTATAGTAGCCCTTATACAAAACCCTTTTAAAAATCCCTTTAAAGGGATAGCCCCCAAAATAGTATAGGTACTTATTGAGGCCCTTATAGTAGACTCCCAAGGCTCCATTTTCTTGGCCTCCGAGCCGTCGCACCGCAGGCGATGATCACCGTGGCCACGAGAGCAGCCACTGCAGCCACCTGCGGTTAAGGGGGTTTAGGCTTTGGGTTGAGGGTTCAAGGTCTAGTTAGGGTTTACGTTTTGGACTTTGAGTTTAGGGTTTAAGGCTTCGGGTTTAGGGTTTAAGGTTTAGGGTTTCGGGCTGTGCGCATGTGACCGGGCTTTGGTGGAGTTCGAAGGGCTTTGTCAATGGTGCATAAGGGCTTTCCTCTGCCTGCTCTCTCGTCTGACTCTGCCGTGGTGTGCTTCGGTTATGGGAAATCTCGGGGAACATGATTGGTGCGTGAGTTTCGACATGAAGTTAAAGGACCCTAGCCTATGTGAGGCCTATGTGGGGTGATCCTCCTGATGCACTGCTGAGAAGCTACTTCAGAGGTCGTTTGACCCTTATGAGACCCAGTTGTGCTATGCTTTGAGAGTACAACTGAAGAAAATACCAGTCGTAGTAGTGAGCTAGTCATCGTCGTAGTAGCCGTAGTCTTTAATGGCAGACTTTAAGGATTAGCACTTACGTAACAATCAGTGTTGAATCATCGGATTTGTCGTGGAGGGGCGAATGTGCCCCTCACCCCTGGCACACATCTGCCTGAACTGATCTTCATCTTGGAAGTGTTTGAAAGCGCAGACACCGACATTGCATATGTACATAGACACGCACAACCACAACAGGTGAACGTAGACATGTCGTGGTCCCGACATCAAGATGTCGGCACTGGGGCACCGTGCAATGAGCATGGCGAGGAAAACGGTCCGGACCTGAAGCGAAGTGGAATCGCTTTAGGACTGTCTGTTTACAAATTCAGCGCAAAGCGTCGGGTTTAGCAGGCTTGCAGAAGGTTAGGAGGCACAGGTTTCCTGAGGCGGCTCCTTGCACAATCGACTCGGTCGGAGCTTGGGTCTCTCCTCAACACGTTTCGCACATGAAAGGGGAATGCTCTCAAACCCTAAACTTAAACTCTTATAAGCCCCTAACCACCCAACCCCAAACCCCAAAACCTAAACTTTAAACCCTGAACCTCAGACCCTGAAACCTCAAACCCATGGAAAGAGCAGTGCCAAGGGCGCAAGGCCGAGCCCGTGGCGCTGTTCAGGAGCAGCTCTACGAAGCGATTCACCTGAGAGCGTTCCGAATCGATCTCTGGCACAATGATATGATTTGTGGTTCTCGAAATTCTGTACACATTAGCTTCATCGTTTTTAAAGCAGAATGAACTTCCTGCTAATTTTCTCGTGGTCAAATCCATTAATTACTTCATGATCAAGCGTCGGGGTGCTTGGAATGGGAGGCATTGGGAAATCTCGGGTTCAGGCCCAAAGGGTCCTAGGTACTGATATGGGGGAATACTTCCCCAAGTCATAATAGCAATTCCTAATATGGAAACCCTACATTCTAGTAGATGGGTACTTTGGACCCTTTGGGAGGGTAAAGCAGGTCGCCTCCTCCACGCCTTTGAAGACCCGAAAGAGCCGCAGCAGCCGGAGCAAGCGCAGTGTCCGCAGGACCTAACGAGAAAGGCTACAGGGCTCAACGGGTGCCTACTAAGTCCCATGATCCTCCGTGTACCCCCTACCCCCAGAGGTGGGCCATCCTACGGTGTCCTCGCATTCTGAAACGTGTCCAAACTCTCCACCATGGAATGCCATCCAGTGTGCCTTCATCTTCTGCATGGCCGCGCCTGGCTCGGCTGAGCTCATGGCTGCTTTGGGCTGCTCAGGTGGATTGGAGGTCTACCTAGACCCTCAAAAGTACATAAAATTCCAGTAAGTTCTTAGCTTCAACTCTTCAGCGTTCGAGGCTTCAACAAGAAGCTGCCGCCAAGGTCAAACTAGCCGGGGTGCACCATTCGGCGCCTGGCCATTAGCTGAAGCCGCCGCCTGTTGGGACATGACCTCCGAGATTTTCAGGCGTTGGAAGGTTCAGGGCGTTTACGGCTTAACTCAGAGCATCCAAAAACCCTTAATGAAAGGAATATGCCTTAAGTCACATTAGGGAAATCCCATTATGTTTTAATGTATATTCCCTTGTTAGGAGGTTTTGGAGGCTCTGGGAAGGCCTGGAAACTTCAGAGCAAGTCTCCTACCCCCGCCCCCCAAATTTCCCCCTCCCCCTACCCCCCTCAGGGTCCCGATGATTTCGGATCTGGATACGTCTTTCTGGGAGATACATCAGCTCCCTCTCGTGCTACTACTTATTACTACCACAATCACGCTAGAAAAACAGAATGATGATCGAATGCAGAAGACAAACGGGGCACTTTTAACTCTTTACGCAAAAGGTCTCTGAACGTTCACAGCTACGGCATCGTCTTCATGGCCTTCATCGCCTCTCATGGCCTGCATGGCCTCTCATGACTGTCCTGCATCTCCGCTGAGGAACTGCAAATTGAGTCGGATGGTTTTGCGGTGTGCAGATGCGTAGCAACTGCACAGGTCATCCAAGAATCACTTGCTGCTGGTATGGCTGTGGCATCAAAAGTGTGCCTGCCATTGCTGCCACAATCAACTCTCTCGGTGCACTGCCCTTAGTCATAGCGTCGGCCACCATAGATCGCGTGTCTGCCCAAAAGAGCTTCCGCAATCTTCCTTTGGCTAACAGTGAGCGCACCCAAGCCACGTGAAGTAAAAGCGAGGGCTCAGCTGGCACTTTGACATTCGGAGCGGTGACGGCAGAGCTTACTGACTTGGCGTCAATGACAAGGTCAAGGTTGACATCGCTGCTTGGCATACTGCCTTCAATCAGCTGCCGTGCTACGTCCATGGACACCTTTCCATGACGAAGCTCGTAAAGCACGATACTGTGGAGGAGCCCGATATCAAGCGCATCTGTAGCCGCGAAGAGCTCCGAACTGAAGGTGCTTCTTGTCACGTGTCTCTGGGCTTTGCTTGCAAAGTCAACCAAGTGACAAGTTGTATCACGACATCCCTCATGAATAGCAGTTGAGCACACACGCAAGCTGACCAACCCACGCACTGACAGGCCGTCTTCGGCCTTTGCTCTGTAGGAAGAATCCGAAATCTGCAACAACGTATCCGGGTACTGCATAGTCGGATAAGACATCTTGCGAGGGTTTCGCTGCAACCACTTCAAGAGGACATTCAATCTTTTCACATGTTGCACCTGGGCCTTGTGTGACTCGCGTTGCAATGCAACCACAAAGACCGCGACATCAGGTCGGGTCAGCAGCGCATACGCTACTGTCATCAACAAGCTCAGAAACAACCTACGCGCAGCTTCTGGCAAGAGGGTATCAGCCTTGCCATTGAGTGCAACTGGATCTGAAATCACCTTACAGGCGGCAAGGAACTTCACCTGATCAAGATGGATACTTCCTTCATCATCCTGCAGGTGGTGAACACCACAGAAGGTAAAGTCCTTCCAATCGATCTCAAGCTTGCCGAAAGCTCGACAGAGGTGAGCCACAAACTCTTCAATCAGCTTACGCGGACCTATCATTTTCAAATCATCGACATGCTTGATGATTGCCATCAACAATTCGGTTCCGCGCTCATCAAAGAGCATTTCAAGCTCAGGGTCAATGGTCGAGCACACCATGCCAAACTCCCTGGTCACTTTTCGAAGTTTCATGCTGAAGCATCGAGGTGCGTCTCTGCATCCCGTCCCGGGCTTCAAGCAATGTAAAACCTCTGTGGCTGGATTAAAACCTTTGAAGTTGGGCATGCTTTGAAGACATTTGAGACCATCGCCGGTGAGCTCAAAGCTAACATCACGCATAGGTTTGCCAGTAGCTTCAGATAGCTCTTGATACGTGATCCCCTGCAAGCAAGCCTTGGGCACATCAGAGCTGGCTATGCACCAGCCGCGCACTGCACATTCTGATACTATGACACGCTGGCTGAACCGTGATGCTGTAGCGGCGAAGTTTGACTGATCATCTGCGCCTGATTCCTTGAATCCACGCAAGCACAATCTTGCACGAATCTTGCGCTCGCCTTTGACGATTTTGTATTTGAACACCCATCGAACATCGATGACGCAGGGAGCTGACTTCCGCGGTCGCCGACAGAAGCACTTATAGCCTTCCCACGTCTTGAGCTCATCCAGGATGGCCTGCGTCACTGCAGCTTTGTTTTGCTCCACTTCTTCAGGGGTGAGCAAATCATCGGAACGCTCGATGATGACCTTTCTGCAGTGGGTTTCGTAGATGCGCAGCTCCACATGTTCGTCTGCGTGGGGCAGACGGTCCAAGCCTTCGAAAAGCTTGCACTGGTCTCCATAAGCTTCGACAGCTACATATGTCCCAGTGTCGTCAGAATCAAGGGCAAGAAATGATGTAGACTCAGTGTCGCACGCTGCAAGCGTCGCATCAAAGGAAACAGATTGCTCTGACTCTTGCTGATTCATGCAGACTTCTTGCCAAGAAGGGATCTCTAGATCCATGGACACTGTGCCGTGAACATGGTGAATGAGGTCTGGGATGGAGAGCACAGTAGGCCTGTCAGAGGCATCCTCGGACGCGCATGCTGCATATGCTTGCTCAAGAGCCTCACGATCACTGCCCTTGATTGAATCACCAAAGACCTCACACAGAGCCGTCCAGCTCACTGGCTCAGAGGAGTGGCTTTCAGACTCATCTGATCCTTCAGGGATCGTTGACAAGCGAGCTGCACTCCCTTGACTCTGCGTCTCATTTTCAGGCGACGCCTCTAGCGTTTCACTAGGAGCTGGCACAGACCAACGCAGTACTGTTGCCCACTCTTCTTCATCAGGGACACACAGAAATTGGATGCAACGAAAGTCTGACCATGTTTGCCCGAGCAAGTCAACAACTGACAGCTTGGACCCATCAGCGTGCAAGAAGCTTAGCTGTTTGGAGCCTTCTTGCATCCAGTACACGCATAATGAAGAGCTGAACTCCTCACGTGGTGTCAGTTGGCGCACGGCCCTGCACAGGCGCACAGCTACCACATTTCGAAGGCAGAAGACAGTCTCTGCAACAAACATACAAGCCTGATGTGTAGCTCGATGGCTTGCAGTCTGGGCGGATTCTACCCAATGGCCTGAAGCGGTGCGTACTTGGCCCAGAGTGAGGACTGTCCCTGTTCTCAGGGCGTCAACAACTTGCTGTGCGTGGTATTGAGCATGGTTGGCTTGACTGCCAGCGGGCGAAGTGTAGTCAGGATGACCGAAGTAGGTCGAAAGCTCTTCTGACCACAATGTCAGACTATGACGAACATCCTGCAATCTGCAGGTGATCACTTGGTCAGTGTTCGTGCGGATGCCTATCCGCCCATGTTCAAGTCTGGACAGATCAACCACCGTTCCTGGACCACGCCAACCAGAAGCGTCCTTGTTTGCAGGAGGGCGGTGCCAATCAACGGATTGGCCAACTTTGAACTCGAACTCTGCACCAGCGGGTTGAGTCTTGCTGTGCAATGCATGCTTCATGCGCTCTCTGGCTGTGCCTTCAGCGATGGCCTGAACGGCTATCTCCCGCACTCTGAAGATGTGCCGAGAGCAGTCATCAGGCACGTTGTCACTCATCATCGTGTCATCGCCGGGGAGGATAGCTGGTATCCTACCGAGCACTGCAGCATACGGTGACATGCCATTCAGAGAGGACAGCGCATTGATCGCAAAAGTTGCTTCACTTACGATTCGCGGAAAAGGCACTGGGAGGCCTTCCTCATGAAGTTGGGTTCCAAGCTTATGCACTGTGTCGCGCAGAACCTGTATCTTGCGATCAACAATGCGTGTGTGCTGGCCTGGCGCCGACGTGCGCTTACAGATGCCCTTGAGCTGAAAGAAGACAGTGGACTCGTCATCATCCAAGCCGGTCTCACCGTCAAAGAGCAAAACTTGCATGGGACCATAGACTGCGATCCAGCATGTGTCAAGCGCGGTAAGGAGAGTTGATGTCTGACGGTCCGAAATCACAGTCGTGGCTACCCACCGAACCCCTCTATCAGCAAGCACTAGAACCGCATTTTGCTTACCTTCATGGCGGCAAAACATGATGTCTCCTTCAACCTCGATGTTAAACCCTACGACCATACGGCAGGTGGCTTTGGCATCGGGTTGAGGCCGGGACCAATGCCTGCACACCTTGCAGGTGTCCTGAATCGCCGGCACCAAATCAAGGATGTCTTTGCCGAGACCTGCGGCCTTAAGGATGCGAGTCATGCGGTCGGTGGAGGAATGCCACCATCTCAGATGTAATTTCCGAAGGATTTGTCGGCGCTGTGCCTCTGTTCCATGTCGGAGGCCTCGCAACGAGGCTTGCACATCAAACGAGGTCCAATCAGACGGTGACGGTGTTTGCACATCTGCCTCCGACCATGTTCTACGCTCACGAGGCTCTAAATCGGGCCCACGATGAGCGCGAACAGGAGCTGGGTCCGTGCTACTGCTTGCTGGCTCGGCAGGGGCATCTGCAGATGCTTCTTCGGCTTGCCTCTCAGCTTGTTGTCCTAAGTCCGAAGCGCGCAGTCCTGCGGTCGGCTCAGATTTTGCAGGCTTGCGGCCATAAGGCCGCCGCTGCACAGAAGTGCGCGGTGAAGTGAGGGCATGCCTGCAGTCGGGGCCATACGTGTGGCTCGGATCCGCACGTGTTTTATGGGCCACACATCCAGGACAGGCAAAGTCAACAGGCTCAACGTCGGGGTGCTTACACTCACCTCGTGTCCTGGTGTGGAGAGGATCGTACTTG